GTGCACGTCACGGCTGAGGGACGAACCTGCAACAGCTCAGAGAGCGAACAGCTCATGTTTAGGACAGGTACAGTGTACACAGTAAATTACATAAAATATTCATTAACATAACTGGGGAAAAAAAGAAAGCAGACATATATTTCTCTCCCACTCAGTGCCATGCGTTCCTGAGAATCTCAAAGCCAGCCTGAGCTGCAGCAACAATGTGGCTTACATGTCATGGAGCTCTATAAAGGGAGGACAGCTTTTCAGCGTAAAGGCAGTGGGTACTGACGGGCATGTGGACGAGTGCAGGGTTCCTGACAATGAGTGTGAACTGACCAATCTGCACTGTGGACAGTACTACACAGCCACTGTGTCTGCAGAGGACATGACGTGTATGAGCAAACCGAGTGAGAATGTGACGATCAAGACAGGTATGCACTCCGACTGCTGAACCGTTTTATTGCTGTGGTTTTATTTTGACAGGAACACCAGTTACCCAGTGATTTTGAAACTGTCATTGAAGTTTCAGAACTTTGCATCTACTTACGGTACATTAAATTCAAATTCTACTTGTTTTTAAAAAGGTGATGCCAGTTTATTTTTCTCAAAGAATTTTTTTTTTCATGCAGAAGAGGTAATTATACATACACCTACTGGTCACTTTATTAGGTACACCTTACTTGTACCAGTTTGGGCTTCCTTTTGTCTTCCTGGCTTCGATTCAACAAGGTGCTGAAACATTTCTGAGATCTGGTGTCTGTGGAGGCTTTTTAAGTACAGTTAATTTAAAGAGATGATTTGACTTTGTGACATGGTGCAGGATCCTGTTGTAAGCAAGCATCAGAAGATGACTACACTGTGGTCATAAAGGGATGGACAACAGCAATATTTGAGTAGGCTATAGTGTGTAAGTGTGCTTAGAACACACCATTACGTCACCATCAGCCTGAACAGTTGAAACAAACCAGGATGGATCCATGCTTTCATGTTGTTTCTGCCAAATCCTGATACTACCTTCTGATTATTGCTGGAGAAATTCAGACTCATCACACCAGGCAACATTTTTTCAAATTTTTCTGTGATGTTAATCACGACCTTTCAGGCATTACAACTCTGCTCTAAACATTGACAATTGTCTCTTCTCATCAGTGCCGTGCACTCCAGCAAACGTCTCCTCTGTGGTCGACTGTCAGGCCAATTCTCTCATCGTTTCCTGGTCGAAAAGCTCAGGAGCCGATTCCTACATCGCCACACTGCACGACAGCACCAATCAGGGCACAACATGCCAGGCCACAACAGAGGGCTCCTGCAATGTGACAGGACTCGGCTGTGGACAGATCTACCATGTTTCCGTAGTGTCTTCTGATGGGTACTGCAACAGCCCGCCCACTCCTGTTGTTGACACACCGTCAGGTAGGACAGAGAGGGAATTCAATGCATTTTAATTATAGAGATTTAAAACAAATATAGACAATAAAATGCAATTATCCGTGGTACAACATGAAAAACGCGTCACATGTGTAAACTGAGAAAATGTACCATTTTAATAAAAACATTGCCGTGACTTTTGGGAGAGTCCCGTTCTTGTCTGATACAGGATTCTTGTTGCTCAACAGCCTGTTTCTTCTTTTATGCAAAGTGCATTTTAAGCCTGATTTATTATCTTTGTATACCCAGTCAGTTGTTGACTGACTGCCATTTAACCCAATTAGTTGGACAATGTTCCTCATTATTCCTGGAAACATTTTCACCCTTTTGTTCCCGCTACTTAACTTATTTGAGAAGTATTGCTGCCATAAAATTCAAAATGAGCTCATATTTTTCTCTATTTTATCCTTTCAAACATTTCATATTTTGTCTTTCTGTGTTCTATTGTGAATAAAATATGAGTTTGTGAGGTCTGCAAATGATTTTACCCAGTATAAAACTGCTTTAGAAAATTGAGTTGTAGTTTTGTGTAGTTAAAATGTTCTTTTCTTTTTCATATTTGTCAGTTGCGATACAGTGATGGATGATGTTCAGTTTTACATTTTAGTAAAATGCTCTGTCCCTGGCTTTTACATTTTTACTATTCATATAAAGTTTCCTGTCTTATCTGTCTTTCCCTCAGTGCCCTGTAATGCAATAAATATCAGGGCATATATGGACTGTGAGATTAAGACAGCTGTGGTGTCATGGTGGCCGAGTGATGGAGCCTTGTCATACATCGCGATGGCCACTACAAATTCAGGTCACAACGTCACCTGTGAGACCAACAGGACCTCCTGTGACCTGACAGAGCTGCTCTGTGGACAGAGCTACTCCGTGTCTGTCAAAGCTATAGGAAAGACGTGCAGCAGCATCGCTAAAATGACAGGACAGCTGGTCACTGGTGAGCAGCACCACAGAGGCTTCACGAACCTATACAAACCTATATAGCACATCTTTCGCCTTGCCGAGTTTTTCCACCTTTAAAAAAAGTGAAACAAACTGCTAATTTGTTGAAATTGTATAATTATGTTGACCTTTCCCACTTAAAACCAACCAAAGTGTCAGTAAAAGTGATAAAACACAATTAACCAAAATGACCCTAAATGCACTAAAATTCTTGAAACAATCAAGTTTCTGCTTTTTTCTAACATTACTTACATTACATAACTTTACTACAGTGGACCAAATCTACGCTACCTTCTTGCATTTAATTTGAAGCTGCAGTTCGAACACACAAAGCTACATTTTTGTCTCAGTTTTCCTCCATCCTCTCTTTTAGAGCCTTGCATCCCAATCCAAATCACCACCCAGTACAGCGTGACAATCGGCCAGGTGCAGTGGGACATGAGCAATGGTGCTAATTACTACACAGTCACGGGGCAAACAGACCAGGGACTCACCACCACCTCCTGTGTTACCAATGACACTTACTGTGCATTGTACAACATGTACTGTGGCCAAAAGTACAGCATCGTTGTCACAGCAAACAACTTTGTGTGCCAAAATGTGTCTGCCTCTACTGTTTTAATTGTGACAGGTGAGAACACGTGCTAAACAATTTTTTGTTCCCTGATTTATTTTTGTATCAAAATATCTTCATGTTTTCCTCCATGACTACTGATGGGCTCTTTAAATTTGCAGAACCCCGCTGATAGTTTATTAAGTCACTTTGGGCAGCCTTTAGCTTCACCAATTGGACAGAATATATATCAACATCCACACTAAATCATTCTGCATGTTGTGTCTCTCAGAGCCGTGCCCGCCCAATAACGTGCAGACAAACGTTAACTGTCAGGATAACCAGGGGATGGTCTCCTGGGAGACAAGTTTTGGTGCAGTGGGTTACGAGGCTAGCTTCGCTGGCCGTGACGGACACTCGCTGTCCTGCCATACTAATGCCACTTCCTGCAGCGTGGAAGGACTTCACTGCGGAGTCGTCTACCACACTGATGTCATTGCTATTGGGGAGAAACTCAATAGCATCAGGTCCAACACTGTCCTGCTGTATTCAGGTACCCTACCAGCCTAATTTTATTGACATTGTATGCTGAGTCTTTCCCAAACTTTATAACTACAGTTTTCACTTATAGCTGAACGGTTTTAAGATGTGTTTTAATGAAAATAATGTAAACTGCGAGAACTTGATTGGAAAAAAAGCTAAAATGATAGAAGAAATGAACTAAAAGTAAGACACATGTAATAAACAGAAAATATCACGTGCCATCTCTTGGTCTGAAGAGAGCCAACCCCCTTAAAAAGTTTTCTTTTGCTTCTTTGAACCTCATTTAAGTGTTTACTTTTATAACACCATCATAGCAGGCAGCCTAGGCAACAAACAGCGTCTTGCTTGTTGTTTTAAAAAATCAGGGACATATTTTATTTTTTAAAAAGGGCATAAAAATCTGGTATTTTGAGCTACATCAACTACATGCCCATGCAGAGAACCTGTGCTTCTCAGTGAATGTGTACTCGTCTGCCGAATTGTATAACATCTATTTTCTGAAGTGGAAACTTGAATAATAAATATGATTTGGAGCCGTGCATTCATGGAGATCATTGCAGCTTTAAAGTCGATGTCGATGTTGTTGTTTTTTTGCCAATAGCTCCCTGCGCAGTTGGAAAGTGCACAGCTAACCTGGACTGCTACAATGACACAGCCACAGTCTCCTGGAGTCCAGTCAGTGGAGCAAACTCCTACATGGTGACTGCTGTTTCAGCAGATGGTTCCCGCGCTTCCTGTGAGAGTACTGAACATCAGTGTAATCTGACAGAGCTGGAGTGTGGACAGGTGTACAACGTCACTCTCGTAACCATCAGCAACCACTGCCGGACTGAGAAAAGCACTAATATCTCCTTTAGCACACGTGAGTCGAGCCGTGTCTCATTCCAGAGAAGTTAAAATCACGATCTTAAATTTATTCTACAGTCTAAAATAAAATCATTAAAACTATTTTCACTCTTTGAATTACGGCCTAGGCCCCTGTAAGCCATCACGTGTGGGAGTGGATCTACAGTGTGGGACAAGTACAGCCAACATGTATTGGGAGGAAAGCGCGGGAGTGGAGCTCTACATGGCTACTGCCACCAACATGGGAACAACACTGAAGTGCAACTCCACCAATTCCACCTGTCAGTTCTCTAACTTGACCTGTGGGGACACCTATAAACTCTCTGTCATTGCATACAGCAACAGGTGCTACAGTGAAATCAGTAGCACTGTGGAGATTCAGACAGGTACAGTAACTCGTTAGTACTGATTGACTGAATGAGTGATTTGTACTTTAATTACTGCCTGATTGAATTAATAACATGCTTTATTTCCTATTAAGTGGCCTAACCTTAATTATTCTGTACATAAAGATAGGTAGGGAATTTTCATCCACAAAGACTGTTTAGATTTACTCTATTAATCAATTAATTACTATTAATTTCCCTAAATTTAACAGTTGCTAGACTGACAGCAACATCCCTCAGAATACCAATGTGACTCTTCTTTTGTCAGAACCCTGTAAGCCAGATGGTTTGAGGGTCCATGGGTCATGTAACAATGAGACGGTGCTGCTGTACTGGTTTAAGGCTAAAGGAGCATCGAAATATATTGTGACAGCAGACGGAAACCTGGGATACAGCACGTCTTTACAAACTAATAACACAATGATAGAGACCAACCTGCCCTGTGGACAGCTGTTCACATTCACTGTAAAAGCTCAAGATGACTGGTGTGACAGTCCTACAAGCCGGCCTGAAAAATACATGACAAGTATGTGTCTCATTTAGATTTTTTTCACACACGATAACATGCATAATGCGTGATGATTAAACCGTTAACCTTCCCGGCAGCCCCCTGCGTCCCGGCACATGTACAGAGCTTTACACGCTGTGAGAAGAGCCTGGGCTCAGTCAGCTGGGCCGCGAGCGATGGCGCAGAGTCCTACATGGCCATTGCAACAGGACAGGATCGCCATGTCCACACGTGCACCACAAACACCACCATCTGCACCTGGAATGATCTACACTGTGGTGAAACATACACAGTTTATGTCGTTGCCATGAACTACGTATGCACCAGCATGCCGAGCAACAGCACTTCAATTCGGATGGGTAAACAAGCTTTTAAACAGCAGTAATATTTCTGGAATTGTTTTAATGGGGATTTTTTTTAGAGCACATGAAAATGAACGCACTGCATGCAGAACAGTAGCAGTACAGAGCTGAATATCTTAGTTTTAAATTGCTGACATTTTATACCATTTCCTAGCACTTTCATTTTGTCACTCTAGACAAATCAATACAATTAAATAAAGAAATAATAATCAAATTAATCAACACTAATAAATGTCTAAACTTATGTCTTCTCTTTTTAGCACCATGCATACCTCAGAATCTGACATCATCTTTTAATTGCACTACAAAGGTGAATATTATTTATCTGGATTTTCTTTTAACTCTTTAAAAAGGTTTCTGCTCAGTAAATTAAAGACATACCCAGTTCACCTGGGTAAAAATGTAAACTAATAGATCTTACTCCCTGGTTCATTGCTTATATAGCTTGAACTCTCTTAAGCAAACCTTCGTGTGATTTTATTAAGTAGTCTTCAGGAAAAGTGTCGAACCTTCTTGAAGGACATTCAAAGTAATAATGCTCTCTTGATTTCTGATGAGGATTGAATTGTATGATTGAATTGTACTGTAATATTTTCTAAGGTGGGATCACTGGCCTGGAGTGCCAGTGAAACTGCAGAGTTTTACATCGTGACTGCAGAGAACAACATTGGCCACAAAGTGCAGCTCAGTACCAATGATACCTGGACTTACATTTCTGAGTTCCACTGTGGTCAGGAATACTTCCTGTCTGTTCAGGCGGCAGATTCAGTGTGCACAAGCCGCCCCAGCCCACCTTTAAATCTTACATCAGGTAAAATCTGGTTTATACTTGGAAACATTTGTTTTCAAGCCAGTAAGTAAAAGGGCAATGCATATATTATATTTCTTTGCAAAAATGCACGATAACTGTAAAAACAATTGTACATAAAGGATTTTATGTTGTAAAATGCATCATTTCTTACATATACTAAGGAACTGTAATTGACAACGAGTGGTAAAACAATTTTTATTGCCGTTAAACGTGATTTTTACAGGCAGACCTGGAGTCATTGAAATATGTGCTGTTAAAATGGAACTGTGCACCATACTTGAGACCCTTTTTTTATAATCCAGTCTTTTCTCCTTTCTTCCCAAAGAGCCCTGTTCACCCACCGGTATCTCCAGCTTCATGAACTGCATCTCCAACATTGCTGTGGTGTCGTGGACTGGCTCGGCTGGTGCAGAGTACTACATTGCCAATGTTAGGACGGAAGATGGACAGTCTTCGAGCTGCTGGTCTGACAGTGAGCAATGTGCCATGCCCAATGTCCTCTGTGGACAGAACTACGCAGTGACTGTGGTGGCCTCAAACAGGAAGTGTAACTCTGATCCCAGTAAAGGTGACCCACTGCGATCAGGTGAGGACAAATCAGTATTTTTGCTTCGCTGTTGTTATTTTTACTCTGAAAATAGAAAGTGTGTAAATAATTCAAAGACAGATCTAATTTAAGTCTTTTTTAAATGTAGTTCTGTGTTCATTTAAAATGTATACTTAAATGAGTTTCAATTTCCTATTCTTCACACTTTTATCTAGTTCCTTGTGTTCCGACTAATGTGGAAGTGGAGATGGTTTGCTCCAAAAATCAGGCTGTTGTGTCCTGGAGTGCTAGCAATGGGGCTCTTTCTTACAAAGTGACAGCACAGAGCACACTGGGGTCCATGTCCATCTGCCAGACTGCAGGCCTAAGGTGCACTTTGACCAATCTGACGTGCGGACATGACTATTCTGTCCAGGTGGTGGCAGAGGGTGGAACCTGCTCAAGTCTGCCCAGCCCAGCTATAACTTTCCATTCAGGTAAAACAGTGAGATTTTAAATGAATCTCCTTTGGACTGTGTGATGTTCATGATGTCAGTGTGTCATAGATTTATTGCTCTTAACATGTGCATGTACTCAAAGTGTTACTCCCTTCTTTTGTCAGTTCCCTGCACACCCAACATTGGCACAGTGATTCTGGACTGCTTCACCAACTCGGCCCTCTTGGACTGGGCCTACGCTGAGGGTGCCTTGTATTACAATGCAACAGCACAGTCATCCAGTGGCCATGTTTCCACCTGCAGCTCCAACATCACCAACTGTGAGCTGCCAGGCTTACAGTGTGGTCAGATCTATGACGTGATCACTGTGGCCTCAAATTATGAGTGCAGAAGCCCTCCTAGCTCCACACTCCAGGTGGAATCAGGTAAAAAAAAAAAATCTATATGCAATAAAAATAAGTTAAAATTGTGAGGCAATGATTTGCTGTAGTATAACACTTATTTGGTAGTTTCACAGTAATTTCACACTGGTGGAAAACATCTTTTTTTGCCATATTTCAACTTCTAGGGGGGCATAAACAAATGCAAACCTCAGTATTGCGGGAGTTTAGTTGGGTCGCTTACTAGTGCAAACTACATGTCATTTTTTAGGGACCTGAAGATGTTATTAAGTTTTCCATTATAAAATTATTACGTTTTTAGGTATGAAAGCCTTGATGAAGCTTAAGGAGCTGTTATGTTATCTGAGTCAGAAGTGTAAGCACCTAGAAATGGAGCTAGGGTTGCAGCTAGCCACTATCATTACACTTACTACCTCCTCATTGAGCTATTTCACTTTGTCCTTCAACCACCAGTGCCTTGTCCTCCCGAGGATGTTGTGCATGTACTGGATTGCTCTACTAACACAGCTGTGGTGGAATGGCAGGCCAGCAGAGGGGCGGACTACTACATTGTCCAAGCCGTCGGCGTGCAAGAAGATGAAACGAGTTGCGAGACAATGTCACAGTCCTGCATCCTCGCAGACCTCTTATGTGGCTTCACCTACAACATCAGCGTGATTGCTGTTAATGATGTGTGCAATGTGTCAATGAGTGACACACAGCAGATGCAAGCAGGTACAATAGGGAATGTTCACGTCTGACAGCCAGTTACGACATGCTAAGTCCAAAATTTTCTTAAATAGGAAAATAAAAATACATAATATTTTTTGCGATTGTTTAAATATACTACTGAACAATCTAATATTTACACACAGATGTTGCTACTACTAGTTATTATCATTGAAAAGGTCTGTATGTGATCATTGCATCTGTACTAATCGTTCTTTCCCTGTGTTTTTGCAGTGCCCTGCATACCACAGCTAGTGGAGGCCAGGGTTGTTTGTGAGTCTGGGGCTGTGGCAGTGTCTTGGGAGCCAAGTAAAGAAGCATTATCCTACACGGTAGTTGCCCAAGGCCACGGTGGCTACGCTTCAGTTTGCAACAGCAACGACTCAACCTGCCTGCTCGGTGACGTGCTGTGCGGCCTCAACTACTCGATCACTGTTACTGCTTCAGATGACACATGTAACAGCAATGAAAGCTCTGCTGTGGAGATCGACACAGGTTAGAAGATTTCATTTATCAAAATATGATGGATTTTTAAAAAAAATCATGAATATATAGTATAAGAGAGTGCAATTAATATTCTTCTGTATTCACATTTGTCTTTAGTGCCATGTGTGCCTCAGAAAGTAAGAGCTGAGATGGAGTGCAGGAATGACACAGGAGTGGTATCATGGGAAGAAGAGGAGGGTGTGTCCATCTACTTGGTCCAGGCTTTTGGACCTGATGGTCACAAGTCAGAGTGCGACACAACTGAAAGCAGTTGCGAGCTACCCAACATGCACTGTGGCCAGCTCTACAACCTGACAGTTACAGCTCAGGATGGACGCTGTGATAACAGCCAAGCCCACCTCAGCCTGCAGTCAGGTAGGTGGGAACTACTGTGTGTGTGTGTGTCATCTGTGTTTTAAGATGTCTTTAAAGCTTAGCCAATGATAGTAATGATGAAAAAAAATGATTGTATGTTGTTGACATGTCAGTTGTCTTACTGCTCATATCATACCTCAGCAATGCTTTAGTTCCTCTTTTTCTTTCACAGTGCCGTGTAAGCCAACCAGCGTGAAAGCTTCTCTACGATGCCACTCAAACTCTGCTGCAGTGACATGGGAGGGGGCCAGCGGAGCTCTCCTATATACTGCAGTGGGTGTTACAGCAGATGGCCGTTACAGGGCTGAGTGTAACAACACTATGACCTTCTGTGATCTGAGTGAGCTGCAGTGTGGGCAGACCTACAGTGTTAGCGTGTTCAGCCAGGATGATTCCTGTTCCAGTTTGGAGGGCAACAAAGCTTACGTACGAACAGGTATCAAAAGCAGCGGAGGCTCAGATATGAACTCAGTGTAACAGCTTGTGACTTTATACAATCTACATACAGATGGCAGGCTTAATAATTTATCTGAGTAGTTTAAAAATACTCAAACAACTTGTGTCTCTGCCACCCTCAGCGCCTTGTCCACCACAGAATGTGGTTGTTGGTGCACAATGCGGAGCAGGTTCCATGGTTGTGTCCTGGTCCCCCAACCCTGATGCCCAGTACTTCCACGTGGCTGCAGTGAGCAACACTGGGGCGAGACTCTACTGTAACTCTACTGGAAATAGCTGCACTCTAAATAATCTACCCTGTGGACAGAGCTACAACATCACTGTGCTGTCTATAAGAGATGGTTGCCAGAGCAAACCGAGCGCTGTGGTGGAGTCTTCTTCAGGTAAACTTTTCTTATAAATACAAAATGTACTGATGTGCTGGAGACGTGATACACTTTCTTCATGTCTTTGTGGCTATAAAGAGTTTAATGGAATCCCTTCCTAAAGGGTATAATCAATGTTCAAGTTTAGGTCTGCACATCCATAAATAAGATCCCAAATATGAGACGGTGTATTAATCTGAAAAGCAAAACATCTGCAAATATCAATCTGGTAATAAATATTTGTTAGTTTATTTCATCTTTAAAATCAAGGCTTAAGATCTGAATTATGACAACAGCTGCACCATCAGGTGCAAAAGCCAGCAAACCATGTATGTAACATTTCTTTAGAGATGGTGTTATAGAGAGAGTTTCCAGATGTGGGAAGTGGGAGGAGTCCCGGCGCATAACTGCAGTTCAACATGTTGAAATAAGAAGCTGCAGATCTAACATTTTTTCTTAGCCAATTGTGGTGTTGACAACATGTGTGTAAGAATTTTTCGATAATTATTTTGTAAGTTCACCTCTGACTCTCTAAATCCTTTGCATTTCATTTTTATTTCGTTAGTGGGGTTTTCTGGGGTTTAGTTAGTGGGGGTGGACTTTTTCAAGAAGCAAAGCAAAAATCAGACGAGACTGATAAAAATGTATATGTTTATCTACATGTTTGACATATTTTATTGGTGGGGATAAGAAATAATGTAGCATAGGCGGAGACACATATGCCCAACTCCAAGCAAAGCAAATGCTAATTTCTAATGCGAACATAAGATTTTGAAGTGAAAATCTGAGCTTATGGTGCCAGTGAACATCTGTAGATGATTAAATATATATATATTACATTTACCATGCGCATTAATGTTTTGCCTGATCTTCGGCTTAAGCCACAGATTTTTCACAGGATGTTAACCGGTGCTACTGGCAGTATAGAAATAGATATGCTTTCCATCTTTTTTTCTTTTATGTTGAATTAAATGTGGATCTCCTCTGGAGCAACTCGCTCATTATGTTGCCTTTCACCTTTAATAGCTCCATGCATACCTAGGAACATTAAGGGTAGTCTGGACTGCATATCAAACAGTGCCTGGGTGACGTGGGACGACTCGATGGGAGCAACCAGTTACTCTGTGCTGGCCCGAGCAGCCAATGGTCACAACTCCAGCTGCACTACCACCTCATCTCCCTGTAAAGTCCAGGATTTGAACTGTGGGACACTTTACACCTTTAAGCTCAAGGCTATCAACAAGCACTGCAGCAGTATTGACAATGCCACCTTTGAGCTTGAGACAGGTATTTAGCAGGAATCTCTGCACTCTGGATCCCTCTTTGTTAAGTGTGTGGTGTTTTGTGTGTTTTTGTGAGGTTTCTACAAAGTATTTTGACCACTGACATCTCTGGGTGAGGCCTGCCATCTATATCTTTTCAGCTGTTTTATCCTTTGTGACAGATTAGACATTGGAAAGGATTTTTCCTTTTTCTAATTATTATTATGGTTTAAATTCTTTTCTGTAGGTCCTTGTACTCTAACATCCGTCAGTGCAATGAGCCAATGCAACAGTGACACCATCCTAGTTGAATGGAAGGTGACTGCAGGGACGCCAGTCTATGTGGTCACAGCTGAAGGTGATGACAACTCTGTTGTTACCTGTAACAGTACCTCCACTTCATGTGTACTCCAGAATGTTCACTGCGGCATGCACTACAGCGTCATAGTAGCAACTTCCTCTGATAAGTGCAGCAGCCTCAGAAGCCCTCCAAAGAAGATCCAAACAGGTATTCTTCAGCTTCCCAGATTTGTCTGCTAAACTACAGTAGAGTTTCAGTACAAACACCCACAGAGATTTGAATCAGATAACTCTGTCTTCTTTAGCACCTTGCGTCCCAGCCAATGTAACAGTGGTGCCATCGTGCAAAGACGCTGGGGCCAAAGTGAGATGGGCGGACTCTCTGGTGCCCACATCATACCAGCTGATAGCCACAACTCGAGATGGACACGTGGCAACCTGCAACACCTCATTGAACAACTGCTCTTTGGTTGATCTTCACTGTGGTCAGCTGTACAATTTAAGCATCACTGCCAGAGGGGAGAACTGTACCAGCTATCCCATCAGTTCATCCTTTAAAACAGGTACAAATAACTGATCAGTTATTTTCTGTCATCTTATTGAGCTTTACTTCTTCAAGTCTTTTGATTAGTTTGTGTTACTGAAAAGGGTATCCTGTTTTTTAGATTCAACATTTCTAAAAAACTGCGTTTAGAAATTGGGCTGCATGCTACGTTCCCCTAACAGGAATCCTCTCTCTCTCCTTCCTATCAGTGCCCTGTGCGCCCTCTGATATCGCAGTGGATATTGACTGTCAGACCAACTCGGCTGCCATGTCGTGGAACAAAAGCACGGGTGCTGTGGAGTATTTTAGCTTTGCACAATCCACGAATGGAGTCGCCCTGTCCTGTAACAGCAGCAATCCCTCCTGCACCTTCAAAGGGCTGGAGTGCGGTGGCGTTTACAATTTCTCTGTGACAGCCTCTAACAGCATCTGCAACAGCTCGTTCAGCTCACCTCTGCAGGCCGGAGCAGGTAATTCAAACATTTATATTTAACCACAAGTTTGGGGAAAAAAAGAATTTTTTAAATGTCTTTCTACTCCTACATTTATGGTCAATTTACAGTGTTATTGATAAAATGCTTCTTCCTTCTTCTTCAGTCCCGTGCCCTCCTTCTCGTGTGAATGTCCGTATGCAGAGGATAGACAGGCTATACTGGGCCATGATATCATGGAGCAAAGTTACATGTCCTGATGTTGAGTATTTGGCGGAAATCAGTGGTCAGATTGAAAACAACCCACAAGCCTTGATGACTGTCTCTTCTTATTGGCTACCCAGGCCATACTTTGAATTTCCAGTGCCTTGTAGCACTGCTTTTAACATCACAGTGCGTGCCAAGAACTCAGCTGGTATCGGCAAGCCATCGAGTCCCATTACTGCACTAACAGGTAACTTTCTGTTCTCATTTGTAGACTTTAAATGGAACAGGATGTGTTTTTGCATGGATGTTTATGTGTTCACAGCAGATGGCTGCAGTTCCGCTGGAGGTCTCTTCCTATTAAAAGGGAGTTTTTCCTTCCCACTGTTGCCAAAGTGCATGTTCATAGGGGTATTGTTTGATTGTTGGGGGTTTTCTGTGTTATTGTAAGGTCTTTACAATATAATGCACTTTGAGGCAATTATTTGTGACTTGGCGCTATATAAAATAACTGATTTATTTTGAATTAAACTAAACTTATACCATAATGTCAGCTTCCAGTTATAGCGATTTATACATCAAATGCAATAATAACAAAAGCCTGACATTACAGTATAGATAAAATTTTAACTATAGCATTACCCTTTCCTTCGGTTAACAGCATTTTCACTGTTTCCTTCCCAGCCCCGTGTGCTCCACAGAGTGTGATGTACGCTGGCAACAGGCAGTCTGCTGTCCTGTTCTGGAATGCTTCAGTGTTTGCTACCAGTTACACGGTCTACAATGTATCGAGAGGAACCCGTGTAAAACTATGCAACACCACCGAACTTTCCTGCCAGCTGACCGACTTCGATCCTAATGCAACTATAGTGACAGCTAGCAATGCTGTAGGGGAGAGCAATCCCAGCCAAAACATTACAGGTCACTTTCTACACTCCTTTGTGTTTTATGTCATTCTTTATAACTTTGTATAATGCCACTAAAAATTAAATGTGGTTGGTTCTTTTTATATATATTGCTATTTAACACAATCCTCTTTGAGACATTTTCTTACGAGTGCTTTCCGCATCTTCCTCAGGTCCAGTGACAACTCGCAGAAGAAGAGACCTTGTTCAGTTCTATGAGGGTTAGTGTGTTTGTATTGGTGTAAAACAGCATCACGATAGTGTTGCTCATGTAATCAATCAGCTGTCACTCACTTCCCTCTGTCTCTGTTAGATCTTGAAATCCCAGAGGTGCTGACATTAACAGTAAGTGGAGTTTCTTTGCATGTGAGTTGGACGACAGTGACGGGTGCCACCGAGTACACACTTATGATTGAGGAGGAGCAGATAGATGGAAAAGCCAGCAAGCCGGCGAGAGTTCGAAGAGTGGAAGGTGACTCTTACACAGAGACTGATCTCAAACCCCAGACCACCTACTGCGTCAGGGTGGCAGCCAAAAATGCCATCAACCAAAGCAGCTACTCCCAATCCAAGTGCAGAAACACTGATGCTCTAGTGGGCTCTTAGTGACACACACACACATGCATGCATACACACAAATTCACTTAAATAGACACTGGACTAAAGAGAAATACTATCATATGCCACTTTGTAGCATCCATAACACAACTCATGCTGGTTTGATTGTACACATACTTTAGGAAGATAATTGTGAAAAGGAAGTAATCACGCATACAAAGTCATGATAAAATTATGTTTCTTAAATGTCACAAAGAGATGATGATCAAACCTAACAACCACTTATAGATTTAAATGCTTCAGAATTTTCTGTGGGAGTAGTTTGTATATTTGCATAAATGTAGCTCTGCTGAAATTATACAGTATTTATCAGAAACATGCTTATATTTTTGGGGTAGGTTATTCGATTCTCTGCATGATTGATGAAAAATGTAGTGTAAACAAATAAAATGGTAATTTATAAAGCTATATTTGTAAAGTCATGCAGTATCTTTTTGATGTACTATGTGACTTCTCAGATTGTAAACACGCTGACAGATGCTTTTGAACAATCCCAGAAATTAAAGAATAAAAAAAAGGTTGAAAACACACAAAACAAAGTTTCATTTTTTCCAACTTGGAAAGCACACCATCTTTTTACTCTGAAGCTTTACATATCAGGACAATAAAGCATCATCTGGGCCTGTGCAGGACAACTTCAGATAAACAACAGAAGACATTACATTATGTCACTATTTATTCAAAATATGCTAATCCAAATTACAGAAGTAATGTGTATTTTCTCATACTCAAAATCAGAGGCATTCACTGGGATTTATGCACTGACAGGCAGATACATGGATAGCTTTAACACTTAGAACAGACAGGAGGGTCATTTTGACCTTAAGTAGAATTTGATTTGGGCCCCCCGCCAGCACCAGTCCCGCCCACCTCAGCACCACTAGTATTATCTATATTTTGTTCATGCTTTATCATTTGTGCGTTAAACATCAAACACAACTATTATCATAACTTACTAGTGTGCTGGAAGGAAATCAAGACAATGTATGATTCCTGTTCATGTGCCTCACAGCTGTTCTGTATTTCCCAAATGTGGTAGAGCGCAGTGATATACTGTGAAAGGAAATGATGCAACTGAAGCCTGGCAGCATCTGGTATATATGAAGCTTTGGTCATTTGGATAAACTGGGCCAGAGGGACAGACCACTGTGTATTATGTAAAGCCCCACAGCACAATGAGCACATAATAAACCTCACAAGTCTATTTTTGGGTTTCAAAACTTTCAAAATTATATGTTCTGAATGCTGTGATAAAACAGTTTCTGTTTAAATAAATGATTTCAGTGTAAAACTGGGACTGTGTGACGCCTCAGTTGTCTGAGGTGATCCTGACGGATCAGAACTAACTGATAATTAAGGACAGTCAAGTTTTATCATATGAACAACAGTATGTTACCTGAAAGTATTCAAACACTGTATTACGAGTTCTTGTCTCTGTGGGAAAGTTGCATTCACTATATATGTTTAGGGTTTTTTGTGGCTGCAGTGAGTGATGCTGCAAGCAGTGTTTTAAGAGAAAGATAGAAATAAAATGGTCTTCCTGTTTGGATTTTGCAAGTCCACAAGACCTCAGGTCAGTAAGAGAAAAGCACCCTCTGCAGTACAGCCCATGCAGCAGTCCATTGTCCTTAGCACAATCCATTTTCACACAGGAATACACCATAACACAAATATTTTACTCTTACTGGATATTTAAGTATCTTTTTGTTTTTTAATGGGCATATGGAAGCATGGTTATTTTCATATTTCCATAAAATGTTAACCTCTCTGATAGTTTTTTTTATTTTTTATTTTTACATTGAATACTGAAAATTCTTGATAATACATCTATGTCTGCCTGGCATGCCCCCCCCATAATATTGGTATATGTTTAACACAAACAAAATATACATTTATCAAACTGGTTTGTGTGACATTTCCAGTGCTCTTTGGGGCCCCCTTCTGGTGTTGGAGTCCCATTTGCAATTCATTTGCTCGGATTAATAAGGTGCTCCACACTCGTCACTCTGCAACCCATTTGGTTCTCCACCCGTTCAACCACACACTGCTCTGCTCAGCTATGGCTCAATGCGACCCTGCAGTATTTTTTAACCTTTTATCGTTATATATTTAACTGGAGCTTTGCAAAAGGTTGTCAACAGGCAAAGAAGAGCTTTGAATTTCCTTTGAGAAGCCTGGAGAACTGTTAATGACAACAGCTTATAGAAATCACAAAACAAGACTGTCTAAGAGAGTTCAGGCAGAATAAAAGTGGTCATATCCATCCAAATATTGACATTCTGGCTTATTAGACTTGTACAAACTCAATTTATGCCTTGTACTGTATTAGCATGTATGTGTGTATGTTTTTTTCTATTTTCCATAGCAAAATGTAAAGAAACGCAGGTTGGCTCAAGGCTTTTGCGCAATACGGGATATATTTGTGGTGGAAAATGGACATTTGTATTACTACATAATTGCTTTGCTTATATTATGTGGAGTAGAAGCAAAAATATTTAAAAATAAGTCATATATTTTAATTTCAAAGACATGCTCAAGCCTGCTGAAGCCTCGATTAAGTTTTAAGGGATTTTTCCAAAGCCAACAATTATTAATTTAATATAAAAAAAAATAAATTTTGACCAGGAGGATGCACTTCCACAACAAACGCATGGTCTAGCCAACTCTACCACTTTTGAAGCCATGTGTTGCCGATATATTTTAAATAATGTAAGAACAGAACCATCTTTGCTCACCCTCCCCTCCCCCCCAAAAACGGGCCAGACTCCAGACTCTATAACAACAGCGCCCTCTGGTGGCCGGCGGGCGGGGTTACAGGACGCTAAGACGAGCCAAAGATGGATCTGACGTTCAGTCCACCGCTTCACAAGCAGAGACGTCAATTTGTCGTCGATTTTGTCAAGAGGAACAAACCTAAAAAGGTCGCTAATGTCTTCGTGAAAAATACATTGTTTCAAAACTTTAGCTTAAAAGCAAGAGTTTGTTTTAGCGACGTTTGACCACACCAAAGCTAATTATGTTAGCAAACATTTTCACCAAACCAATTAAGTTAAATTAAATAGCGCATAATGAACTACGTTGCCTTGGCTTTTCTTAACCCCTTTGGGTTCACTGTATTTACAATTTCTTATTAAATTTCTTTCACCGAGAGTCTGCGCTGTGCCTTTGTCCAGGTGGTAGACTTGGGCTGCGGTGAGTGTACCCTCCTCAAAATGCTCAAGTTTCACCACGAAATTGAACTTCTGGTTGGAGTGGACGTGAACGGTGCCAAAGTCAAGAAAAGGATGTATGTATGTATGTATGTCTGTTCACGCAAATGGTGAGAGTTAAGATTAGACCGCGGGGTTAAAGTAATTTAAAGTGTGTTCTTTGGCGAATGCATCAGTGCACCAACATATATTCCTCTTAACATGTTAACGGAGACAACAGGTCTGTCTAAGCCCCATCCTGCCACGGGTATTATAGTGAGCTAAAACTAAACTAAAAACTAAGACTACATGCAAAAAACGAACAGAAAATTAAAAACTAGACCTTTGGGAAAAAATTGACTGAAACGACTTTATGAGATCACTAAAATATTTCTGTAGAGTAAATATCCTTAGAGTGGGTATTTAATTTGGTAAAATTTGTTATCACAAACTACAAGATGAAGGTTTGATCGACGTTTTTGAGGCTTTGGATGTCTTCAGGCCTGTGAGTCAGCTGCTCTCCTCTCCTCACCTCTCGCATTTATCTTAAATAAAATGATAAGTACATAGTGTAAAACTAACACTGAAACTAATAAAAACCAAACAAAAGCTAAACATTTTTAAATAATAAAAACTCGACTCGTATAAGACAATCTTCTCTATTCTGGCCAGTCAACATTCAGCTTTCGCTGACATTGTCTGCTTCCTTTTGACTGAGTCCTCTGGGACCTCAGAACATTTAAAAAACACAAATTAAAGCAGAAATGGGAAACAGTGTGACATCAGTGAGAACAAATCAAGTGACGGTCATAAAGATTGGAATGATTAAAAAACAGCAAAAAAAAAAAAAAACGCCTCTGAGACCAGTTAAGTTTAACTTTAAAAACTGGTTGAAATTTAGTGATTTAAAATGATCTTCAAGTCTTGCTGTAATTATTGTCTTCAATAAAGATGAAAGCACCAGGCAGCACAGTAATGTGCAGGCTCTGCTTGAATGTTTCTTTAGGCATGGATTAGCTCCTATATCAACTGACTACCTGGAGCCAAGTTACGATCAGCTGTGCGTTGAGCTGTACCAGGGCTCAGTCACCCAAAAAGATGCCCGCCTCAAAGGATTTGATCTGGTCACCAGTATAGAGCTGTAAGCTGCTGCATTCTCCTCACTCTTTTGCGTTCTGTTCATCATTACAAATGTTTTGTCTTTCTTTGCTTTTATGTTCGTCACTCTGTGCTGCTTCTTGTAACTGTGTTTTCTATCTGGCTGTGTGTGCAGCATTGAGCACCTCACTCCTGCTGATGTGGAGCTCTTCTCTGAGGTGGTATTTGGTTACATGACCCCAAAGATGGTCATCATCAGCACCCCAAACTCTGAGTTCAACATCTTCATGCCTGGAGTGTCCTGTTACAGGCACAGCGACCACAAATTTGAATGGACCAGAGCAGAGTTCAGATCCTGGTACATTAGCTTTTTTTTTTAGTCATGCAAATAAATTCATCCTGAAACACTCTAGGAACCTATCCCCTGCTGAGCATACAAGACACATTTAAACTGCGTCCCTTCTCAGGGCTGTGAAGGTGTGTTTGGACTACGGCTATGAGGTGGAGTTCACTGGTGTTGGAAAAGCCCCACAGGGCCAACAGGAGGCAGTTGGGTTCTGTACCCAGATCGGTGTGTTTTACCAGCTCGGGGGGAGAGATTGCTGCAAGACGTTGCTTGTCAATGATGCAGAGGATTTGTTTTCATATACATTGGTAAGTATATTTTAATATTAGTACAAATGAAAAAGCTAATTATTTCTGTAGTACAAACAAAAAGCATTAGTGTTAGTGCTGTGGTATTTGTGTTTTCACTAGCATTTCCTGAGCTGCTACTATTGGAATTATGCACTATTAATATTATTAGCTGCTGCAGCTGGTCTTTTTGTTTTATGTGATCATCGATTCACACTGCCATCTGGTAAACAGGAAACAGCTGTAACCCATGTCTTCAGTCCTGTCAAGTCGTTTAAGCCTTGTCTCCCATTGTCCTCTAACTTATTTGTCTACTGAAACATCCTCTGTGTTTTCTGGGTCATGCCAGAAGGGAGGGAGGGAGGGATGGATGGATAGATATATAGATCTTTTTTTTTATTTGCATTTTCGATGAAAATGTACATATGAAAATATTTGATGAATGCACATTAGTTACTTCCTCATCAGTTTTTATTAATTAGTCGTTCCAGTGATTTGAATACACCTAGCAAACTAGAGGTAAAAGCAATATTTGATGACGCAGTAGCAGCAACATTTGAGTGCAGTAGATTGCTTTTAAACTGGTATGAAATGACAGTATTTACCGCCC